CAAAAAGCTTGGCCACACCCAACGGTTGCCCTTATGGGTCATGAGGGTCGCTGACAAGCCATTTTTCTTTTCTGTATTTACAGAGAATCTAATAAGTCCTGATCCTTCAGACTCAGAGGAAGAAGCAAACGTCACTGATCTCTAGAAAGATTATCTCAGTCTCTATAACAGTTGAACTCTGCTAATTAGCTACAAATTGGCTACAGATAAAGAATAGCGTCGGAGCTGAGGCCACATAATTTATCAGTCGCTTAATATTAGCCACATGTCGTGATCTGGTGAGTTATAATTTTGATTACGTGTCATGCTCTCATTGCGCGCCGCGCATCTTCTTTTATATGATAACAAGAAAATCAAACAATATCGTTTAGAATCAGTTTTGAATAAAAATTTTAAAAATCAAGATCGTAATTTATTAAAATCTAAATGTTGAAGTATAATTTTTTTTGTAAATGCTAAAATTATTCCAAATGTTATAGTTATTGAAATGTTTTGCAAGAGCTTGATATTTAGAGGGTTATATACATATTCATATGATATAATCGTAGATATAAGAGTACTACAAAACTAATTATCTATAAAAAAGATTATATTCATGTGATATAATTTTTAATTAATGTTTTCTATTTTTTTTCATAAAAAATGTGGCTATAAATAATTAAAAAAAAAAAGATAATGGAGGAGGTTATGAATTTGTTGGATCTAAAATTATTTAAATACCAATAACAGAGAAAAAAAAATTAAATTTCTATAAAAACAATTTTAAATACTAAAAATGCTATCAAAGTGGGAAGTTAAAGAAGAAAGATAATTTTTTTTTGTTGAGGATTAATCGAAAACCCAAAAAAAATTATGTTAAAAAAATTGAATGACACATGTCATTCCCAGAATTGTCAACTGATTTCTTTTTAATAAATAAAGATAAGATGGAAAAATGAAAAAGGCAAAGGAAAAAAAATCAAATTGCAAAAAGGACACCTCAAAGATGGAGAACCTTTGCAAGGACTAAATCCACAATACACTCTCTATCATCTAGAGCGGCTAACATGTTTGTCTTCTTCGGAAAGAGGATGTCCACCGTTCTATGGTAACAAAACTTCAGAATGGGAATGCGGAAACCAGGAAGCGTCTTGATGTTTATTGTTGTAAGGTACCTAAATTTTATTTTGCCGACATATCATTTTTTGTTCACTCTGCTCGTATACATGTGGCATAAACTAGGTGGTCTCACTCTTAATGGTTTCAGTTGTTATTTTTCTCTAATACTTGTCAACCATTTGAATCTTATAACGAGGTAAAACAATGTCATCCTTCTTTTCTGTTACAGGATGCAACTCTGCCTCAGAATCTTCTCGACAAATTGATGTTTATATATAAAGATGTCAGGTTGGCTCGTGTAACTGGTGTCCCGATTTCCTAGCTTCTCCATAGAGATGGGATTTTCCATTGAGCTTCTAAGTAAAGAAATCATCAAAGAACTCTTGTTTACTCATACATTGAACAAACTTTGCTTCTCCTTTTCGACAAGGCTTTTCGTAGGACCGATCACTGGAGAAGACAAAAAGCGGTCATCGGAGAAGAGAAGAATCAGTCACCGGAGAAAACAAAAACTGTCGGATTTTCCTAGAGAAATAGGATTTCCCCTTTGTCAAGTAGAAAATGTTTTATGTTTAAACTAATTTTCATTATTGTTAATTCTAATTTTTTTATTTTAAAGTTTTTGATTAATAAAATAGTATTATTGTGATTAAACGAAAGTTTGATGGGTTACCTGACTTTTCACACGTTTTTGATTAAATATTTTTTAATGGATGATAGTCTAGTAATATATGAATGAATTAGTGCTAATCTTAATAATTTTCTCTAAGAA